GCGTGGCGATGTGGCGATCTATGTGTAGGCGATAGAGTGCGGCGTTGGATGCGCGACGGCGACGTAGCCCGTACACGACGATCCACCGGGTTCATTTCTACGGCGACTCCATTATCCCTCTGTGTCGTATTTACGCGGCGCGGTTGAACGTCATTCGCAACCAACCTCCCCTGGGCATCTTCAGCGTGGTCGTAACCGGTTCCCCTACTCGGCGGGGCCTGCTCTATCTCGATGCGGGGCGCGGGCTGAGACGGGCGGTAGGGCGGCTCCCCCCGCACAGTCTCTACGTTTTCTAACCACCTATCAACGCGTACCCTATTTTCGACTAATTCGTCCTCGTTTAGACTTTCCCTATCGGTTTCTTCTTGCAGTTGCGCGATATCCCTATCATACTTCTTCTTGATGAGATCTTCCTCGATTTGCAATTGCTTCCTAGTTCCTCCGCGGCATTATATTCGATTTGTTTTAATCTTGCTACTGCGCTAGCTGTCGACCGGGCTGAACGGACTGAGCGGACCGACGGGGCGAGGGACGCGGGCCTATGTACAACGTCTGCTACAGGCGCGACGGTACGCACTATCGAACTAGTTTCTGTAGTCAGAAGATCTTCTATTATCGCGGCGAGCGTTTCTGTGCGCGGCGCGGATGTACTAACTTCTCCAAAGCGATCGGTTGTAGACACGGACATAGCGGGGCGCGGCGGCGCGGGCGCGGGCGCGGGCATAGATGCGGACGCGAGCGGGGGCTGCGGCGCGGCGGAGGGCGCTTGTGCCAACGCGGACGGGGTCGCGGGTGCTTCCTCGAATATCCGCATTCCTACTGGCGTTTCGTCGTCGTTCCGTGTCTTCTGGCTTCTTGTCTTCCATATGATGGTGTCCCTCGTTGCGACCTCCGATCGTCTTCAAAAAGACGCACGTATTGGACGCCGTTCCCGCCTCAAGGGCGTTACCAGATGGTCACAGTTTGGCACCGTTAGGGAGCAACCACCCGGCCGCGTAAACGCGGTTTAAGAAACAGGAATTGTCTGGAAACAGACAATATATATGACGTAGATGTAAGCAAGAAACGAGGAAGGAGTTAGCACCGACGATCTTCTCTCTTCGTCGACGTACTTCTTTCTTCCTCGAAGATCTTCTGTAATGATCTTCTTTCTTCTGTAATTATGTTCTCTCTCCTATAATTATGTTCTCTCTTCTATAATTATGTTCTTTCTTCTATAAATATGTTCTTTCTTCTATAAATATGTTCTTTCTTCTATAAATATGTTCTTTCTTCTTTCTTCTGGCTTGAATCCGGCGACGATGGACCAAGAACTTGTTAGGGATCGCAGTGGACTGTATTATTGACTACGCTAGGGAAACTGCTTAAAGAAAAGATGGTACTGTCGAACTATACTGTATTCAAACTATTTACAATGTGGCACAGTTAACTACACTATACAGAGGGGATTCTTCTTAATTTCTATGGAGTCTTGATTCTCCTTGATTTCTCTTGCTGTTTCTTCTCTTCGAGTGCCGCTTCCGAAATGAACCGCTCACAGACCGAGACGCCCTTCTTATATGTCGCCAGAGAGCCTCTCGGTTCGTGAGTAGCGTCGTCCGCGATGCCGCGCGCTCATTGGTCGGCGACATCGCGTGATCTGCTGCCGGTGTGCGGGGTGCGCGGGGCGCTACGGGGTGTGAAGGGGCGACGAGGCGGCGGCGTCCTCGCTGTCCGCTACAGATTTATTATAACGTCGACACAGGTGTCACCGTCATCAAAGGCGCCGCCTGCCCTTTTCGGTATGCAGGCATCGATTTGGTGATCGATGTTTGCAGCACGTGCAAATTAAATGAGTATTATTAACAATTTTTTTATTTAATGTAAGTTGTATTTAAAAAATGGATGCAGGTTAAAATAATTACAAATATTACAATAAAATATTTATAATGATTAAATACAAATGAACAGTAATTGAATAAAGATATTAAGGTATAATGGTTCAATAAAAATATTAAAATACAAATTTAAAAATTAGACTTACCTAGGTACTTGTCCGTGGATGGCGGTGAGTATCGCGCACATAGCGTTCAAAATAATCACCTCCACATCCTATGCATAGGTGACACCTAAACCTTAACTGTTCACCGACACGAGATAATACTTGATGATTCATTTTGATTTGATCGAATGCCCAAATTATTTTTTCTTTCAACATGTCGCGGGTTTGAATTCTCGACCAGTATACACTAATATCTTTACATGCATACAATAGAAATCTATTGGTGTGATATCTGGCGATCTGGGAGGCCATGCACAAGGCCCGTCTCGACCGACCCAGCGACCAAGGTATTCTCTGTTTAAATAATCCTTAACTTGGCGAGCATAGTGTGCCGGCGCCCCGTCAAGTTGGTAATACAAATTGCGTAGAGATGCAAGTGGTATGTTCTCTAACAACTCTGGCAGCGTGTTGGTGAGAAAACTATGATAGCTTTCACCGTTTAATCTTTCTATGAAGACCGGGCCCAGTAACGTTGTATTAATAACGCCTGCCCACACATTGACACTAAACCGGTGTTGAAAGCTATGCGGTCTTGGTTCATGTGGATTTTCAAAGCACCACAAGTGTTCATAGTCCTCTGCCAAATGTTGCTTCATCAGTCCATAAAATGTTGGCTCGTTCAGCAGCTAGTAACCAGTTACAAAATGTAACTCGCGCTGGTTTGTCAGCTTCGCTGAGTTCATGAACACGATGCAAGTGGAAAGGGTACTTCCCTTCATTGTGTATGACACTCCATGCGTAGTACTGTGACACATTGAACTGTCGGGCTGCCTCATAAGTGCTCGCTGCTGGATTTTGTTCAAAAAACTGCAGTATGTCTTCCTGCTCACGTACTGTGCGCCGCGGTGGACGTCCACGATCGATTGATACAGGCTGGAATTGCCCGTAATCTCGCAATCGCTGTGTAGTACCTAGCATCGTAGCGTAGCTCGGTGCACGTGAGTTGGGAAATCGCCTTGAATATTCACGGCAGGCTTCACTAACGTTATCATTGCAAATTGCTAAAATTCGCACCATTTCGGTATACTCAATATTTGAGTATCGGTATGCCATTGTAACAACGCGTAACGTTCGCGATATTAATCTTATAACGGAAGGAGAAACGTCGCGGGCGCACCAAAAAACAAAGGCGACTGACGACACAGGTAATTAGGTCAAGTTCAGTCTTCAGTTAATTAAAAATTACCCTGTATAGTGAAAATTTTATGCAATAAAGAGGCAAAACGGAACATGGCAAGCGGCTCACTGTAAAGTATAGCCGAAGTCTACCTTATGGGCTCGGGACCCAGTAACGACGGCTCCGTGGCGCAGTGGCTTAGCAATGAGTTGCTGCGCTGGGGGGCGCGGGTTCGAATCCCGCACGGAACAAGTATTTGTATGGCCTACAAATGATTGTTCCGGGTCTGGATGTTAGTCCTTGTGAAATTTGTGTTTGTAAACTGCCTCCACGATACAGGAGAAAATCCTAGTGTGGGGGTAACGTTTTTTAAATAAAGAGAAAAAGAGAAAAAAAAGAGTAACGTGATAGTGTGAAGAACTACCAGTAACCAGCAGTAGTGTGAAGAACTACCAGTGGCAACCAGCAGTAGTGTAAAGAACTATCAGTGGCAACCAGCGGTAATAGGAAGGACTACCAGTAAGAAGCAGTAGTATCTGGTAGCAGCTGAAGTGACTAGCAGCAGTATATAGTGAAAGTGTTAGCTAGCCGAAAAAAATGGTAACTGAAATTCGCAGTTACACAAGTGATAAAATCAACTTGTTTCAGTAGATTAATAGCTGCTAGTCAGTAGTGTCAGAAAACCAGCTACTACCAATAGATATTTTGATACTACCGAACAATTTAAAGAAATCTTTTGAAATATATAGTGACCAACCGATAGTGAGCAACCGTAGTTGAACAACGGTATTCAACAACCATGGTCAATAAATAATAGTTATTAAAATTTCGCGACTAATTGATCAGTCGAACCGCTGGCCACTCCCTTGCTATTTGTAATTATAAATCGTGCATTTTAATTTTGAAACTCAGTCCACAGTTTTCCAGCAGTACACACAAGATGGCAGTAGAAGTACCCTCCAGAACCTATAGGTGTAGGACGTGAGCGACTCGCGGGAGTATCTTCGTCAACACTTACTCCGGAGAGTTTCACCCATCCGGCACAAATTCCATAGTATTTGATACTAACAACGGTCGATGCCCAATTCAAGCTTGATGGCCAACGACATTGTGCCGAGGGCTTAAATAGCTTGGTTATCGCCTACAGCGTTAGTCGTAGAGAAGAGGAACTCGTGGTTAAGTAATAGCTTCGCATATCAATAGATCTTCGAGACTAAGTTGCACTTACCGCGGTCAGCCGATGAATGAGTGACCATTTTCTTAATATACTGAGATTGAGTTGAGAGTTGAGAGTGCATCTGTATCCTCAGACACTTAGTCCACTTTACTGTGTTAAGAGCATTATATTTTTAAACTTCATGCAGTTAAAATGATAATAAGTTTATTATTACTTTATACTTTGCAGGGACATATGAAAGAATATAAACATGAAGCATGATGAAGCCTCATAAACATATTGGTCTTTAAGCAGAGCAATCAATCAGTTAATAGACGTAATAAATATTAAGTAGTTTTTTTTTTCAATAATAATATGTCGTCTGTCGTAAAATACACAGTACATATTTATTTATAATAAATTGTAATCGTGAAATATTTATCTGTTTGACTTTGACATTCGTAAAGTAGGCTCAGAAAGGCTTGAACCCAGAGTCTTAAATCCAGTTTAAAACAAATTCGTAAATTTGCACACTGGCAAACATATGTACTGGTAAATAATTATTTAAAATATTTTCGAGTGAGTTTTGAGCTGTTCTATTGATCTAGATTTCTAGATGTATAATTGTGATTTGTAAATAAAATAGAAGTTAAAAGCTAAGTTTTTATTTTTGTGTTCATAAAACGATGGATACATCTACATGGGATTTACAAATCACCGAAGAACTTGACGCATTTTGTATCAAATTTGAAGGTACTATATCACTATATCAAACCTATTATTTTATTTCCAAAACTAATAAAGATTTGAACTTTCAGAGAAAATTGAAAGAGAACAACAACAACTAAAAGCTTGCAAGAAGAAATATGAACTAGAAATGAAGTTAGCACAGGAAATGAAATTAAATGTAGGATATTTCTTACAATAGTATTTTCAGTTAACAATTTATATCATACCTTAAAGTTTTACTATCTTATAACTGTGTTTTCTTCAGTCGGAGTTAACCCAGCAGCTAGAAGAGCTTAATCGGCGCGGTGGAGAGCTGGAGCGAGTGTGTGCCACTTTTGAATCCCTTACAATTACAGAAAGCGATCGCAATCGGCTAGATAATGCCAAGTAAGCATGTATATTTAGTCAACCTTACAAAATATTATATTTGTTTATAATAAACCAGTCTGGTTGTGTTTCTCAGACCCTAATATTAATGAAACAAGTGTTAGTACTAATACCGTTACAACCTATTAAAGTCCACTGCTGAACATAGGCCACCCCCATAGTATGCCTCATAGAGGGATATTTGCCATAGTTCCCATGCTTGGTAAATACAGTTTTTTATTATTAGTTGTTATTAGGAAGAGACTGCTGCCCATCTCCTTAGTTTCCAGCTGTAGCCCCTTATGAACCCCACAGGATGATATGGGGTAGTGGATATATTTACAACACTATGACACTGCATGTGTATAGCCAGAGTTCATGAGTGATTACTAAAAGGCCTGAACCAATTTGGAAAATTCTTATTCCTTTAAATTTTATCGAAATCTACCAAGGGATTTTTAAAAAATCGATCATAAATTATATTCATATTGAAGTTGTTTGCACAATAATAAATTTATCGCTTGTTACAAGTAGAGGTTTGTGTGGGTGCCTACACGGCAAGAATGGGAGACCTTGCATAGGTGCGGTGATAATTCACGCTGGGACAGCTGCTTTTTTTATAAAGCGCAAGTCCGGTTGTGCATGGAGTATTGCTTCCATTTATGGGCTTGTGCTGCAAAATGCCACCTAGCAGCTTTGGACTCAATGGAAAGGCGTGCTAAGAGGCTTATTGTAATATGCATAAAAATCTCTTTCTCAAACAAAAATAAGTAAATACTTTAAGTAATGTCATCTATATCTATACAGATAAACAAAATATGTGTCTGTTTGTAATGTTAAAATAAAAGCTTTTTACTAAATGCATGTGAAAGTATAAACGGTACTAGTAATAAAAAGACAATTTTCAACATTTTTGTCTGTCTGTCTGTTTGTTCCGGCTAATTTCCGAAACAGCTGGACCGAGTTTGACGAGACTTTCACTGGCAGATAGCTGATGTTATAACGAGTAACTTAGGATACTTTAGGAAAAGAATCAGGGTTGCATGGAAAAATATTAAAACCCTTGAAATCGTAGTAAATACCACGCGAACAAACTCACAAGCGTCAGCTAGTCTATACAAATAAATAAAATTGTCTGTTTGTAATGTCAAAACACCAACTTTTTACTAAATGCTTATGAAACTGGATGAAACAAAAAGAGACAAATATATAAGTCTAGAGGATTTTGCATGTGAGAGAATGAGATAGAATACAGTGTTACAATACAATGTTTCCTATTATATATAGAGATTATGCATGTGATTTATGAGCAGTAAAGATTAAGGATGAAATTGGTTCATTTGAAAATATTTAAGATTTTACAATGATGGAATTGAATATGTAGTTATATATCTATAAAAATAAATAAAATTGAGGTATTTGTTTGTAATTTTAAAATAACAGCGTTTTACTAAATGCAGATAAAGTTTTTGTCTGTCTGTCTGTCCGTCTGTTTGTTCCGGCTAATCTCCGAAATAGCTGGACTGATTTCGACAGGACTTTCACTGGCAGAAAGCTAATGTTATAAGGAGTAACTTAGGCTACTTATATTTTAGAAAAAGAATTAGGGTTCCACACAACATAATTAAAACCCTAAATTACACGCGGGCGAAGTCGCGGAGAACAGCTAGTTTATAAATAACAATTAAACATGATGTTAACATATTTAAATACGTATACATAATATCTACACCTTTCTAACACATTTATAAGACACTATAAATGTGTTATACCTACACAAAATTTGTAAACTATATGTTTTATTTTCCCTATCACGCATAATACGCTTTCCCGCTTAAGTCGCGATTTTGGCTGGGTCCCTTTAAAATCGACTTAAGCGAGTTTTACTGTATTTACATTTTAATTAAATAAACCCTAAATCTAAACTAATTTTACGGATTTTATTGCGTTTCATTTAACTTTTTGATTCCCGATGTTTTGGGTTCTTTAGAGCAACTATGGTTATGAGGGAGACCGAGGTGTTTGATGGTCTAATGTCATAGTTAGCCCAGCTATCCTCAGGTTTTGAATATTAATTTGACTTTGAGGAGAAAGCCCTTCTTACTGCTTCTGTAAATCCAAGATTCTACAAGCATAGAGATTCTATAAGTACATAGATGGCACTTTCACAATTTTACCATCTGACAAAGTAACTGCATTTTTAGACCACCTAAACTCCATAACCTCTAAAATACAATTTACAATGGAGTTAGAAGCAAAAAAATTCTTTAGCTTTTCTAGATGTTTTAGTCATTCAAAGACGAAATACAATTCACAATGGAGTTAGAGGCAAAAAATTTTGCAGATTTTATAGATGTTTTAGTCATTCAAAGTCGTCCAAATATTGGAAATTAAAAAGTTAGACGTGATAAAATTCGTAAAATTAGTACCATTTAATGTGTGGTGTTCGTATTAGAAATCATTACATAAACCCTATAATAATCCTACTCAAGATTCTCTGCATTTCTTTTTTTTTCTCAAAATTTAGTTTCACTTCTACTGCGCGTCAACTGTCTTTTATTTATTTTAATATATAGTAATTACTTCTAATGTGTGCCACAAATATTTTAAAATCTTATGTCATAACCTAGAAAGAAATGTTAATGTTTAAATAGTTTTGAGAGTATTTCATAAGTCATAACATACGTAAGTTTTCATAATTACATGTGCTGAAGGTATTTGACATTTAGATCTAAACACTACTATGACACTAGATGGTAGGATGATTTCCTAGGAGTTCGTTTGGCTAGGTGCCAGCCTCTTACCTATTTTTGTGTCCAAACAGCAGTGCTTGCACTGCAGCCTCGCACTGGTAACAAAGTGTAGGGCGTCCTTCCATTAGAGTTAGGCGGAGTGTCGACTTGGTAAGACACGCGGGAAGTTGATGGTTGCATGTGGCACAAGATCATGCTTTGAGTCATTCCTTCGGGGAGATCTATGTTCTGCAGTGGACTTGTGAAGGGCTGTAATGATGATGATGATGATGATGAAGTAATTTTGTTGTTTGACCGCTATAGTGGACTTCAGGTTTCTTTGTAACTTTGTGTTATTTTTAACTTAACTTTGTGTTGTTTGTTTTATTAAAAAAAAAAAAAAACTTTCTCTGTATGTGGATCTGGTTAGGGGGCATGTAGTTTTCTTGACTGTTTCTATAGTCATCCACCACAACAAGTCCACTGCCGAACATAGACTTTTCCCATAGATTGCCTCATAGGGGACTTTGTCATAGTTGCCACACTTGGCAGGGTTGGCAACCGCAGGTTTTTATTATATTGACTTGTTTGCAGGAAGATGCTGCTGCCCATCCTCTATTTTAGTTTCTCTCTGAATGGGTTATTGTTGATATTCTCACACCTTCACTACACAGATTATAAAAAGTTTACCTTATATATATTTTTATTTTATCAGGGAAATGTATCAGGTGGCAAAGGAAATGACAGGATTAAGGCCGGACTTTAGTGCTCCGCTAAACATCGCCAAAGGCTGTATCCTTTTATTTGTTAAATAGTATAGTATGATATGATATTGTTATTTATTTTATTTTATTTTTATAGAATAAGTGTTACCAACTAGCACACAGTCCACCTGATGGTTAGTGAATACTGTGGCCCATAGACATCTACAATTAACCTCAATTAAAAATCAAGACACATTACAGGTGTGTGGTCACCTCTGAGGTCTGAGATGGATTGCCTCGTATCCAGTAAAGAAAGGTATCGGATTCTCCACACTCATCATACGAAACAGCAGCAGTAAGCTGCTATTTCATGCTGGTATTCTGTGAGAGTGTGGTCCTTCCCCGGTCGAGCTGACCCATTTAGTTCTACAACTGTAAAATAGCTGCAGCGTGACTTTACCATGTCTTAATGACCATACCACAAACCATAGCATTACTTATTGTATTTTTTTATTAACAGGCATAGGAAGGCATTTTTCTGCTATCCCAGAATAAAAAAAATCAGGTGCGTAGGATTTGTGTGACGGCTCCGTGGTGCAGTGTCTTAGCAATGATAGCAGCGCTAAGGGCCGTGGGTTCGAATCCCGCACAGGACAAGTATTTGTATGGCCTACAAATAATTGTTCCGGGTCTGGATGTTTGTCCTGGTGAAATCTATGTATGTCAACTGTCCCTGCGATACAGGAGAAAATCCTAGTGTGGAGGTAACGTTTTTTAAAAGAAGAGAAAAATTGTTACAATTTTAGAATTTGCAGTGGTATTGTTAATGTCTAGTAGAGAACCAGATTTCCTTTTTACTGGTAACGACGTATTCAATCTTAGTCCTCAGGGATGACAACGCATCTGCATTTTGATTTGTAATAGAGGATAGATGTAGACGTCTATGGGCCACTGCATCCACTTACCATCAGGTGGTCTGTGTTCGTCTGTCACCCTATCCTATAAAAAAAAAATAATATGAGTTGAAAAAAACTTAAACAACACGCATTGATCATGAGCTGTGATGATGCTGATAGGTATTTCATTTTATCCTAGTGATTCTGATTGGGATACTAGGATGAAGTTATTAAATTATTGTATTGTTATCGGTCCATGATACAAGTGCAAGTCAATCGGCCGTCTACAAGTTGATGAAAATTACATTACTAGATTCCGTTACATAGATAGATGGATACAAGCAAAGCTAAGAAAAGCGTGTTAAAAAGAATAATTAAAATATGTTCACAACAAGGGCTAATGATTTTTCGCTCACTAGATGTCGTTAGTAGGGGGCTGTGGTAATATTTTTTTTATTATATTATGTAATAAAATGAGAAGTTGCGATAAAAGTTTATCGCTTTCTAGAGGATGTAAATACACAAAACGATGCCTCAGTGGTTTTCTATTTAATTTTTTGCACAATTTTGTCGTCTCCGGATCAAAATGGTGTATTTATCTGCATCTACGGTTACGAAAATAGCGCAAACAGAATTTGGATTTTCTTCAATTATTGCTAAATTTAGCTTTGAAATGTTAACTCTTGTATTATTTTTGGCGTTTGTTAACATTCGAGGAACCCAGCGCGCGGCCATCTTTTCTACCGACTTCAAAAAGGAATTTTTTATGTTATTTGCCTCATAACTTTTTACTGGTTGAACCGATTTCGATGATTCTTTTTTTATTGATCAAGGTCTGACTAATAGTTTTTGAGTTATTCTTAATAATTTATATTGAAGTCCGTTGTACAAATTAAAAAAAAAACTTTAATTTTTAATTATTTAATTTTAACGTTCATACCTTAATTTTTTTTATTGAAATAATAGGAGGGATATTTACCATAGTTGTCACGCTTGGCAAGCGGGTTGGCAACCGCAGGTTTTTATTTTACGTCGTTATTAGGAATACTTATTTTATTAAAACTACTTGCATTTTTGTATACATACATTACATTTTGGTGAATATATTGAGAGGCCAAGGTTAATATATTAAATTTACTTAAATTTTTGTTTTGGAGACTATTTAGATTTTAAATCATATATTGTGTTTTATATACGTCTTCCATATTCGCAATTCGTTGTAAACAACAATTCTTTGCGCAAGAAGTTTATCTGGAAGAAATCGCTTCCTGAGAAATAAGACAGTGTATTGTACCTTCTATATAATTTATTTTTAATTTTAATGTGTTTAGTATAGAATCAAGAATTTATTGATTGGTTGGTTGATTACTCTTATGGCCCACTTCTGCAATAAATTTCCTCAACGATGACCAGATGTCAAGAATGAAGCCCGAAGACTCCTCCAGGCGTTCGAACACGACGTCGGAGACACTGAAGCACTTTGGACGCTCATTAAGAACACAGCTACCCAAGGTTGGCCGGTGATAAACGATAAAGAGAACATGGTGCCCAATTGATCATGGGAGAAGAAGAGTTTAATAATGAAATGTCTATCTGAATCAATAAATATAAGTATGCACTGTTTCATTTAATTTTCTAACAGTCACTTTCCTCACTTCAAGCTGGATGATCTAGTATTCTTTGTAAGGTGACAAACGAGCACACAGTCCACCTGATTGTAAGTGAATGCTGTGGCCCATACACATCTACGAGGTGAGGTAAAATGTTCGCGGAATTAAAGGGAAAGGGGGTGAAATTAACATGAAACTATTTTTCCTTTTTGATATATTCTCCATTAACCCTAATACAGTTCCCAGACCGTTCAAATAACTTATTTATACTTTGGAAAAAAATGTTTTGGCAAAGCCCTCAAAATAGGTAAACTTCACTTGGTTGTCATCTGTAAATTTCCTTCCCCGGAGTTCTTTTTTGATATTTGGGAACAAATAATTATGTATGTAATTGGGTCTAATCTAGACTATAGAGAGGGTCCCTCCCGAACGGGCTCCCGACTTGTCGTGGCGGGGGGCTTAGTAGCCGTGGCTTGGTCACCCGTGGTGAACAAAGAGGAACCCAAAGGGGGGGGGGGGAGTCGGCTATGTCGTTAACTAACTACTAATATGTCGATCTTGCTCCACTTTTTAAAGTTCCGTAGTTACACAACAACTAATCCTTACAGTTTCGCCATGTCCGTCCGTCCATCCGTACGCGATTTTGCTCACAGACCCTAGATGCTACAAATCTGTAATTTGGCATAGTTATAGATATTAATCACGTGTAGAAAACTGTGAAATAAAATCTTAAACATTTTTATTTTGGGTACTTCCCATACAAGTAAATGGAGAATGATTTTTTTTACCCGTCTATTCCATCATGTGTGGTATCGTTGGATAGGTCTTTTAAAAACACTGGGGGTGTGGAACACCGTCTTTTTAAAGTCAGGGGTCAGTTTGCGAAATATTTTGCTTTAAAATGGTACTTTTCACTAGAATCATGTGTCGTCATCGACTTCCTGCATGTCTTACCAGGTCGTCACTCCATCTTGTGGGGGGTCGCCCTACACTTCGCCTACCGGTACGAGGCTGCCACTCAAGAACCTTTCTTCCCTATCGGTTGTCGGTTCTTCGAGCTATATGGTCGGCCCACTGCCACTTCAGCTTACTAATCCGATGGGCTATGTCGGTCACTCTGGTTCTACTGCGGATATGCTCATTTCTAAGTTTATCACGCAGAGAAACTCCGAGCATAGCCCTCTCCATAGTTCGCTGAGCTACCTTGAGCTTCCTCATACGGCCAGCAGTGAAGGACTACGTCTCAGATCCGTAAGTCATCACTGGCAACACGCACTGGTTGTATAATTTCGTTTTAAGGTTTTGAGAAATGTCTGACGAGAAGATGTGTCGTAGTTTCCCGAACGCTGCCCAGCCGAGTTGATTCCGTTGATTGACCTCTCGGTCGAAGTTGGACTTACCTAGTCGGACTATTTGTCCCAGGTAAACATACTCGTCAACAACTTCGAGCTTAGTGCTCCCAACAACTATCGGCATAGGTGTGACATGGATATTGAACATAATCTTTGTTTTGTCCATGTTCATCTTAAGACCTATCCGTTGGGAGACACTATTGAGGTAATTGAACATGGTGCTTAGATCCTCCAGCGATTCTGTCATAAGGACTATATCGTCGGCAAATCCAAGGTGAGTGATGTACTCGCCATTGATGTTAATACCGTATCCTTTCCAGTCCAGAAGCTTGAAAACGTCTTCCAATGCAGCGGTGACGAGTTTCGGGGATATAACGTCACCCTGCCTTACACCTCTCTGCAATTGGATAGGTTTCGTACTCTGGTTCTGTACTCGGATAGCCATCGTAGCCCTACTGTACAAGCACTTCAGCACTTCGATACACCGACAATCAAGTTGGCACCGCTGAAGGGACTGCAGCACCGCCCAAATTTCGACGGAATCAAAGGCTTTCTCATAGTCCACATACGCCAGGCATAGTGGCAAATTGTACTCCTCGGACTTCTGTACAACTTGCCGAAGGGTATGTACGTGGTCTATGGTGCTAAAGCCCTTTCGGAAACCGGCTTGTTCGGGAGGCTGGAAGTCGTCAAGTCTGCCCGCGAGACGATTCGTAATTCGACTCTCGGAAACAGCACGTAGACGCGTCTCAGAAGGGAAATCGGTCTGTAGTTCTTCAAGAGAGCGTTGTCACCTTTCTTGAAGAACAAGACCACCGCACTTCTGCTCCACGCCTCTGGTGTAATGCCACCATGGAGGACGGAATTAAAGAGCTTCTGAAGGACTTCAAGGACCGGTTTTCCACCCGCTTTCAGAAGCTCCGCTGTAATTCCAACCTCGCCTGGGGCCTTGCCGTTTTTAAGATGCTGGAGAGCCATTCTAATCTCGCTCAGACTGACGTACGGGATATCTTCGGAATAGTGTCGGATAAGACTCGCTCTTGGATCGTTACTCACACTTGCGTGTGGCTCCAATGATGACGTGTACAGCTGCCCATAGAACCTCTCAATCTCACTCAAAATCTCAGGTGCCCCGGAAACGATGCTGCCACACTCGGTCCTCAGCCTTGACAGTTGGCTCTTTCTGGCAGACAGATCTCTGGCAAAGACTTTGGAGCCTTGGTTCCGCTCGATTGCTTCTTCAATACAAGCTGTATGGAAGTTGCGTAAGTCCCGCCGCATGCATTTGGAGATCTGTCTGTTCAGTTGCCTGTATGCTGTCAAATCTGTTGAAGAATGTAGCTTCATCTTCCGTCTAACAGCCATGAGATTAAGAGTGTGATCGGAGAGTTTTTGTGTTCTTCTGTGGCGGGTCTTGCAGAACTTAGCTCCGACCGCATGGACAGTTTCCATGAGCTTGTCATTCATATCATCCACTTAATTGCAGTTTTCTAGGCACTGGAAACGGTTTTGTAACTCGAGCTGAAAGGTTTCAGGACTTTGGAACAGAGCACGAGGGGGACGGGGCGTTGACTTCATTAGACGAGACCTCTTCAACTTAACGTTTAGGTTCAGTGTGCCTCTAACCATTCGGTGATCGCTACCAGTTTTCACCCTCGCGATCACGGAGACATCACTGAACAGTTGTCGTCTGGTCGTCATAATGAAGTCAATCTCATTTTTTGTCGAACCGTCGGGGCTCGACCAGATCCACTTCCTGTGGGGCCGCTTCTGGAAGAAAGAGTTCATCATAAAGAGTCCCTCTTTCTCCATGAAGTCGGCCAACTGCTGGTCCCTTGGGTTCCGTTGCTCTATTCCAAATTTCCCTACTTTCACCTCACCGTTCTCCCTTGTGCCTAGTTTTGCATTGAAGTCTCCCATTAACACCGTATATTGGGTTTTGGAGGAATGCATGGCTCTAGAGATATCCTCATACATTTCCTCCACCTCCTCATCGGGGTGTGCCGAGGTTGGTGCGTAAACCTGTATGACCTTCAGCGAAAACCGTTTGGTGATTCTGAGTATAAGGTACGTAACCCTCGTCGACACACTCTCGATCTTTACAACATTGTTAACGAGAGACTTGTGGACGATAAATCCGACACCTCCTTGGGACAGATGGTCGCCCTCCCGGTGATAGAGCAAGTTGCCGGATTCGAGGATTACCGTGTCCTCCCCGGACTTCGGATAATCCTATAATATGCCAGCGTAACTTGTCTATCTCTTCTTCCAGCTCCACGATCTTCTCGTCAGTCCTCAGGGTGCGTGCGTTGTACGTTGCCAGGTCGAGTCGTCTAAGGTGGCAACCGAACCTCCACCGGAGATTCTTAGCACCCCCTGCCCCGCCGTTACCATGGTCGCCACCGTAGCCAGGAATAGCGGGGCCGCCGGGGACTGGGGGCCGTTTCTTTGTTACTCTCTTCATAGAGGGGTATTTGCCATAGTTGCCACGCTTGGCGAGCGGGTTGGCAACCGCAATTTTTTTTATTGTAATTTCGCCTACTATCAGGAAGATGCTGCTGCCCATCTCCTGCCTGTTTCCCTTTGTCGCCTTTTACGACACCCACAGGAAGATATGGTGTAGTGGATATTCTTGACCGCCACTACACGGCAGCACGAATTCGATACTCTAAAATAAATATCGATATATCGCGACTAAAAATATTTATGATATATGTCAATATTTTTTGCCCAAGCCTACGTATTTGCATTACTATTATTAGGTTTATTTTTTCATTTGCTGGATAGATAGGGTATTATTATCAAAATTGAAAAGTTTTTTAAATATTTTTTGAATACCACTCCCTATAAGTCTGATTTGAAAATACGAGGGCGGCACTGAAAATTTCGGGAATCAAGGAAGTGACACAACATTACTGTTTAAAAATGTATTTATTGCTTTTTGAAGTATTCTCCGCGAAATTCGACACATTTTTCCATGCGATGGAACCAATCATTGAAGCAACCATTCCATTCGGAAGTTGGGGTCTCCAAAATGGCCGTTTTGTAGGCGTCCACAGCTTCTTCAAGTGATGAAAATCTCTGTCCACGCAGTTTATTCTTTATTTTAGGGAAAGTATAGAAATCATTAGGGCTTAGGTCGGGGCTGTACGGCGGATGGTCTAATAATTCTATGTTTTCTTGCTCTAAAAACTCTTTTGTTCTATGTGCGGTGTGAGAACTCGCATTGTCTTGATGTAGGATGATGCGGCGGTTGCAGTTCTCTTTACGGAGTTCAGAAACGACCTGTGGCAAACAAATGCTAGCATACCATTCTGCATTAACCGTTCTTTGTCCCTCAAGAGGAATAGTCGTAACATGGCCGGTTTTGGAGACAAACGTGGCCACCATTTTTTCTGCAACACTCCGTCAACGAACAATTTTTGTTGGCTTTAACTCGTTTTCGAACACCCAAACTCGTGACTGGTTTTTTGTTTCGGGTTCATACGCATATATCCAGGATTCGTCACCTGATAAGATGTTGTATACAGCATTTGAGGATCCTGCGTGGAATCTTTCGAGAGTTCTGACGCACCAAGTAACGCGAGCCGCTTT